GCACTTGTCCCTCCTGCACAGGTTATTTGCAGCCATTGACTGAGTGACGAAGGTCAGGTGTGGGGAGCACAGGGGCTGTCCCCTAAGGAAGTCAGTCCTCACATCGCTCTGCTGACAGGGAAGTGGGGGAAGAGAAGCGCAGTGCCAGCAGGAAATGCCATGTTCCTCAGAAGCTGGTGTCAGCCGCGAAGCGCAGAGCAGGCACAGCCACCCCGCACTGTCCTGCGGGCCAAGACCAACTCCACAGCCCCTGACCGGGCCCGGTGGGGCCCGCCTGCAGAACTCATCCCAGGGGCCGGAGAGCGTCGGCCGGACTGGGCTGCCCAGGCCCCTGGTTTGGGTAGTCGCGCTGGTGCCGGGAGGAGGCATCAGACTGAGTCCGTCGGCCGGACTGAGCTTCCCATGGCGGGGCCACTGGGTCAGAAATGCCCTCACCCGCAGTTCCCACCCCGAGCCTCTGAGCAGCACAGCACTGGAGAGGTCCCATTTCCTGAGGAGGAAAGCAGGCTCGGCGGTCCCGGCGAGGGGGGGACACAGGCAAAGCCCACACGGAGTCAGGAAGGGGCTTTGGGGAGCACGACCGTGGCCTCTGGCTTCTGCACAGTGATGTCCCCAGGACGTGGGAAACGTTAGCCCATGTTCAGGTGGGAAAACCGAGGGCTGGGGAATGAAGTGACCTGCTGACATCACACCGAGAAGGATGGCGGGACACTGAGGCCCCCCGCCCAGGGGACCCAGGGCTGTGGCTGCGGTGACACCTGGCCCCCCATCGACGCCGAGGCACAGACCAGACGTTCTGGAAGCGTGGCCCCTGTCTTGTGCATAAGGAAGGGGGAGCCCAGGCTGGACCCCAGACCTACTGAACCGGGACTCTGTGGGCTCCCAAGCTTGGCAGTGGCCATGGCCCCTCTCGGTGAGAAGGCCGTGCGCTCCTGAGGCAGAAAGGCTGACCAGCTCAGGCCCCGCACGGACTGACCCCCCCTCTCCCCGCCCCAGGCTGCGGGGAGAACCCAGTGGCTGGAAAGGTCAGGGCAGGCGAGGCTGCAAACCCAGAGCCTCCACGACAGCGCCTGGGCCCTGACGGGGACGGACTCCACCTGTGGTCCCTGCTGGGGACAGCTCTGCTCAGCTCTGCACAGTTGCGGGGGAGCGGGGGACAGACAACTCCAGGGGGGCCCTTCCTAATTAGGCAGTGACGACAGCGTGAACTCGGAACAGGGCAGCACTAGGCCTGGAACAGGCCTGGGGAGCTGTGATTTTCTCATAGCTGTGCTGTATCATATTGAGCTGTTTGCACTGAATAAAGTTTCTTTCTTCACTGCTTCCCAAATTGGCAATTCCTGTTGGCATTGAGCCGGCGCCCACATCCATCGGCAGTGCCATGGTTTCCTAAGTAGCTGGCTCTCTAGACGGAGTATATACGCTCACGAGGCGGCGCTGCTGCCTTCAGCCACAGGTCACTACTCCTCCAGAAACACAGGCACAGCTGGCTTCAGATCTCAGCATTTATTCACAAAGTGAACCTTAAAACGCTTCCACGTAAACTATGAAGTTTCAAATAAAAATGCCTGCTCAAAACCTGAGTCATCAAAAGATTTTGCATGGTTTGGTTTGCAACACGGTCACATCCTCCTGAAATGAAGGTACATTTCATGCTTCCAGGATGTAGGTGTGGAACATTGCTAAGCTGTATGTTTATTGAAAATTCCTTTTTACACATGTTTAAACTGTTAAAGGTTTGAGGATTAAAACATCATCCCCAGTTATTTGATTTCTTTTCTTTCTATAGATACAAAACCAAGATTCAACTGTGTAATTTATATCCCACGTTTGAGGCGTTTCCATCCTAATGAAGACGGAAGACTGAGTTTGCCTTGACCAACATATGCAACTCCCTCACCATGTGCCTTATATGGTGCCTTACACCACCTTCCCTGACCCCTCCCACACCTGGTCCCTGCGCAGGGAGAGAGAGGACGGGCATGCTGCTCCCTCCCCGGGAAGCACCACCCTGTCACCATGGCAACTCTTGCAGGTCCCCGGGCCCCTCTTCCCCCAGGGCCCCTAGCACCCCACCCAGGCAGGTCTGTCCGAGGACACCCTGGATGGAGGCACTTGGCCATCTGTCCCAGCGCCCGAGGCCAGGCACCGCGGGGCACACCTTATCCGCTTGGAGGCTTGTGTTTGGAGACAGTCTGGGATGTAGGACACCCGAGTCCTCTCCCAGGGCTTGCTTTGTCATCCATTTTCCATCTCCGCAGTTTCCAGGCGGAGGCAGCGCCAAAGTGTGGGATTTCATCCTGTCTGATGGGTGTTGGCTGAGAAGGCCTGCTCTTTTCACCCAGCAGTGCCAGAGCAGGCACCGCTCTGCGGCCAACCCTCCCAAGGCGAAAAGCTATTTGTTTCTTGCCAAGAAGTATTAGTACTGTTTTCCTGGTGACACCGGGAGTGGAAAACTGCCCTGGAAGCAGAGCCACCCTCCTGGCCTCCTGAGCCCCGGCTGCACTCCCACAGGGACCCAGCAGGAGGCGCCGCCTGGGTTTCCCAGGAGGAGCCAGGCCAGTGTTCCTCCTGCTGGTCTCCAGGGGCACAGCGGTGGCGCCTCCTGGAGGAGAGCTAGGGGAGCACCAGAAGAAGTGTGCGCCCCCTGGCCCTGGTGTCATGATGGTGACAATAGACATTTCTTGGCTATGGTATGCCAGGCACTGGGCACTCTCCGAGGAGGAGAGCCATGCCACTGGCACGTGGCCTCACCCCAGCACACTCAGCGCCACTCTCCTGCCTCGCTGGAGCCCACCCCACAGGGAGGCACATCTGCCAGGCCAAGAAGGTGCCACCAGGAATAGGAAGATGCCGCCCCCAGCAGTGGCACAGGGGCAGGGACCATGGGGCTGGACAGAGTGGGAGAACGAGAAGGAAGCTGGGGAGGTTCCCAGGAGCTCCAGGCCAAGTCCCTAGGCACCAGGGGGCATGGCGGCCAGAGTCAAGAGGCCCTTGCCAAGCTGTCTGGACGCCCAGGGCTCTTGATCTGTTACTGACAAGCGGCCTCGCTGGGGGAGATGGGCTGTGTCTCCAAGTTCCCCAATGCTGAGGGCCCAACGGATCTGCTCACACACCCGGGAGCCAGCACCCTCCCTGGAACTGGATAGATGCCCAGAGGAGGGGACCAATGTGTTCAGGGAACCAGATGAGAGATGGGGTGTGGCTGGTCCCAGAAGGTGCTCTGAAGGTAGGTGACCCCAGACTCAGTCTGCTATCTCCCCAGCAGCGGTGAGGTCTTCAGAACCCTAGCATTTCCCAGGGTGGAGAAGCAGCGGCCTGCATCTCCCGGAAACCCTGTGAGGGCCAGATGTGACAGACTCCCCCACACCAAGTCAGCCCTCCCCCAGGTGCACAGCCTGGCTCTGGCCTGGGAAAATTATTAACTGTTTTTAAAAGCAGCCGCTTGCATTCAGCCGTAAGAGGCATCAAAGCAGGGAGCCCACAGAGTGCAGGCTGCTGTCTTACCAGGTCACAGGACAGAGGAGAGCAGTCAGCGAGGCCACGCATATCACCGGGCCCATAAAAGCGGGTGATAAAGTACAGGAAGCCTTTCTCACTGGGGCAGGTGGGGAGGGGAGATCCAGGAAATAGGTCATTTGGGGCTGTTTATACAACTACGCTGTCCTTGTGAGTGGGCAGTAAATCCCCTCAGGTGGTTTCTGTAAACCACGCAGAGCAAGTGTAAACAGCAGATGAGGTGTGAGACCCTGGGATGGGCCTGGACATCGCCCCTTTGCCAGAGGCTGGCTACCCACTTCGCTCCCAGCACCTCTTACTAACCCGCTGCCTTGTTCCTGGAACAGTGGTGCTGAAAGTAGGGTCCTGGACCAGTCACCTGTGAGCTTGTTAGAATGCAAGTGTGTGGGACCCCCTACACCTGCACCCAGTCAGCTCCCGGCCATTCTGATGTCCTGGATGCTTGAGCACCATGGGCCTGGAGGCTAACTCCCAACTGGTGCCCTGTCCCCAGAGGTTCCTTCCTCCAACCCAAGCTTTCCACACACAAGGATCACGACTCCCAAACTGCAATGGCCAGCTCATCCTCTCGCTGGGCGCCGGAGGCCCCTCCACTGCCTCCTTGAGAAGGCCCCTCATCCCCATGTTTTCATGGCCCTTCACTTTTTAAAAACTGTGGTAAAATATAAAAAACAAAGTTTACCATTCGAATTGTTTTTCAGTGTACAGTTTGGTAGTATTAAATGCATTCCGTTCCTATTGCTGTGCAACCGTAGGCACCATTCTTCCTCAGAACTCTGTCCCAACTAAGCACTAAGTCCCCATTCCTCCCCCCAGCATCTGCACGCACAGGCTACCTTCCGTCTCTGAAAGATGGATCATCCAGTGTGTCTTGTTTGTGACTGGTGAGTTCAGTCACCATAAAGTCCTCAGGGTTCGTCCTGTTGTGGCCGGTGTCCTTTCTGAGTAAGGCTGCATAGTACTCCATTGTATGCGGGCACCACATTTTGTTTATCGCCCATCCAGCGATGGACACTTGGGTTGCTTCAAATGTGGGCTATTGTGAATGATCCTGTTTTGAACATAAATGTACAAA